TTCAGATCGGAGGAACGCACGAGAGACGAGTAGACTTGGATCACTTGTTGATTTCGCGTGATATCAATCACGTTCGATCCATAGAACAAAGCGGGTAGAATAACCGTTCGTCCTTTCAAACCGAGGATTTCTCGAATATCCGGAGCATTGGTGAAATCGATGGTGTGTGGGTACTGGATATAAATACATCCATAACTCAAAGCCTTCGTAGATATTGAGAACGTAGTATCGGTCATGGTGTTGAGGATGGCAATGATTTGACCGATCGTGTAGTATCCAGGAGGAATCATTAGCTCCTCGTCATTCGATATTGTGACCACATTAGTAGAATCCATATTGTTGAACATGACTTGATTGGGTCTGAACAGGACAGTCATGGAAGTGATGTAGGGGTTCCAATACTTGTAAGGGTTGATTCATTCGAACGTGCCGTTACTAGATGAGCCTTGGATAAGCATGGAGTAGTGTATGGCTTACTCTCTTTACCATAGTAGTTAGGTATTGACGTGGTTTCGCGCGAAAATATGTTCCTGCCAGCATGAGGTGCATGTGTTAGCTTTAATTCCATAAGGGGAGTCAAAGACTCCCTAGACAGAATAGCACGGCCGACAACAGGCCGATAGAAATTATGGCAGAAAATGGTCGGAAAAGGCGGCCAAATATTATCACGTATTACACGCCAATTACTAACTACTATGGTCCCATTTATACTTGCTAACGCTGGACTAAGGATTGCTACTGAAATTGAACTTAGGCCAAAAGAAAACCATAGGCAGCTTTTGTCAAAATTTATTATTGCTGATATCGAAGTCTTCAATTCCACTATGGCCTTGTGACCAAAGTGAAAATATGAGGAATGAGATCAAGACAACTAACGTCAGTTTATTGAAATGATATACAGTTGTTGAAGGTGGGGAAACGTTGATTGTACAGTACTCGTAAGAGAAAAGGGAAAGAGAGGGAAGGAAAGGTACGATTGATCCGATGGAGAATCAATAAAACGTGGTATATATCGTGAGGCAGTTCCAGATATGGTTGGTGCTAATCAATGCAAAATGTTAATTACTGAAGGCAGTACTGGGGAGATGAGGAATGAACAGAAAGCAATGCGAGTAGATATTAGTGATAAAGAATATAGGATATAGAATAGTGCAGCAGTATATTTTGACGAAGAAATGAAATTCGATCCACTTCTAAGCCATGAAGTTTATACTAGCCGCAAATACTGAAGAAGAAAACAGTTGGGAATATTTGAATTGTAATATTGATTGTAGTTAGGTTATAATGTGGTAAGAGCATGATTTTGAGTTAGCAGACAGAAACTACAGACATCCATAGAATTCGTACTGAGAATAGCAAATCTGTGATAAATTATCAATATACATATTATTGGTTCACATTTATCATACATTCACACAACCAAAATCGGAGTAATAGTGAATGAGCGGCTAAAAGTATGGAAAACAATTGTAATCGTTATGATTAAATATTAGAAATACGAAAACACACAAATTGATTAGAATTACAAAAGTCAACAAGCGACTCAATATTATTTATTAATAATCGCTTACATCATTACAGTAAAAAGAATCACTTCAAAAAAATGTGGTATTTCAACAAAGTCGAAAGCGAATAAGAAAACATTGTCTTTAATTACTATTAACTATACAGATATGCTCTAATTCAACACTTATACATATTCATAGAAGAACCAAATATACATGCCAAGTTTGTGAACCAGTCTTTGTTCGAGTAGAATTATCATATATGTTACATATTATTACACATTATATTTCATATATTCATAAAATTACCAGATCTTTCACCTTCTAGTAAATTCCCGAATGTTCCAAACAATTCTAGATCTTTCCCAATTTTGTACTTACTTACTTATTGACTTACTTTTCATTATTTATTTAATTGATTGATTTACCTTAAGTGAGTGATAATAATAATGAGCATTATATTCCGTGATCCTTTCTTTGATGGTTTTGATGATCTTCTCGTTTCGACTTATCCCAGACAGAATGACTTGGATTCTTGGTTTGATGATGGAATTCGACGTGATGTGATTACTCCGTTCAGTGGATTTGGTCGAATGGACATGAAAGAGAACGAGAAAGAGTATGAAATGAGTGTGGATCTGCCTGGAATGGACAAGAGTGAAATCAAGATGCATGTTGAAGATAATGGACTTGTGATTGAAGGAGAACGAAAGAGTGAAAAGAAAGAAGAGAAGGACAAATATCATTTCTGTGAACGTCACTTCGGTTCTTTCCATCGTGAAGTATCTCTTCCTAAGAATGCGAATGTGGATGGTATAAATGCGATGTATGAAAACGGAGTATTGAAAGTGGTAATTCCCAAAAAGGAAGAGAGCGCCCAAAAGAAACAGATTTGTGTGAATTAAGTGTATAAATAGTTTGATTTGATATTGTTTGTTTGTTAGTAAACTATTCAAAACTCAAACTAAAAGGGATTTGTATATCTTTACAAAACTATGATTGAATTGTATATTGAATCATCTACCATTGCTTTATAAGAAGGGATAATGTAGTTTGAAAGATACTCTGTTTGTTGAGATTGAAGACAATCGAATAATGATGGATTGTCTTGATTTCTCCCCAGTAACACTTTGATTTCAATGTTTTGTAACACATAGAACCAGGAATATATATACATATATATATACATTGTATTAATCATTCAATTTACAATAACACAATAATCTATACTATATATCTAGATTGGTATTCATTACATAATTCCATCAATAATCACAATCGATGTTTTTTCTACTCATTGTACAGACTTTGCTTTATTTGAACTACTCCTTTCCTTTTTTCGTATTATCTACAGTATTACCGAGAAAGAGATTCTAAAGAGAAATTCGATATTTACACTAGAAACACTTTTCTGCCTTCGAAAGGGATAAATAGGAAAATGTGTGTATTATAGTGAGTATTCATACTAGTTGGAAGCAGAGAGAAAAAGCAATTTTGTATTTGCCTATCAACAAGATATTATTGGATCAGTAAAGGTTTTTTCCATAATATGTTGGAAAACAATAAGTGAAATAGGGTATGATCTATTTGAGGAATTAGTAAGTGAAAGTGGATGGTATAATGGAAATGAATGTAATACTAAAGTTGATGATGAAGGAATTGGAAGCAAATCAATGAATACCTGTAGGAAACATTTGAAACTAAATGACAATTATGTATTGGTTGATTTGGCTTGTGATTTGTTCTATAATACAAAAGCAACCGGAATCGGCAATGACTGTTTTAAATCAGCCCAAACATTCCAAATCGATAGATTGAATCGATTGAAACTATCAAAAACGGAAGTAGTTTATTCACTCAATGTGAATATGTAGATGATAAATCGAAATCATTTCATATATTGAATTGTGAATCATTGGAATCCATTCAAATTGGTGAAAATAGTTTCAGTGATTTTGGAGGAGACTTTGAATTGAAGAATCTACCACAATTACAATCCATTCAAATTGGTACAATTGGAAGTAATTCAAACAATTTCTTGTATAGTTTGTTTGTGATTCGAGGTATAGATAAGATATTGAGTATATGAATGTATAGATTTTCCTAATTAATAATCCATCAAATTATATGAATGGGCATTTTGTCATTCTCCAAATGTTTCAATAGAATATATAAAATGATTTCAAACTAAATTTTCAGCTTTTATCATTTCGATATATAATCCATTCAACCTAATGTGTGTTTTTCAATGCATACGTATTGTTTAGCATAATCAAACTCCGAATACTTTTTTTCTGGTTTTTGTTTATCATCCTATTTTATATGTATTACTATGCATTAATGTGATATACACAATTCAGATTGGTTTAAACGCTTTCATCCAGTTTAATGTATTCCATTATTGAAATTGTTTACATGTTCTTTGTATTTATCGTGTTGCTCAACTGAAGTAAACAAGTGAAAACCATGATGTAAGTTGAAATCGTTTTTTAGTACCATACATTTACATGATATTATCAAACATATTTAAAGAATCATATGAATCAAGTAATTGATACTTTGTTGTATCATTATAGGTGTGTGTTGATGTGATTAAGGAATAATATATATGTGAATAGAAGTCATGGTTACAATTTACTTATGACATGAATGTACAATACATTTTTCTTCCTATTTGAAAGGAAACCTTAATGATTCTATTCATTACTGCCATTTCCAAACAGTCATTCACGTTTTTATTCTTTTATTATACTAAGCACAGATAGATAAGGTGTTTGTTGTTTCATTTTCAAACTTTTTTCAATAGCCACATACATGGCTGTGTTCTATACCTTTATACAATTAAATCCTAATTTTTAGTCTTTTGTTTTCCATTATTTTTCATTTCATTTCTTGCCTTCGTTCTATTTCTATTTCTATCTGTTCATTATAAACCATTTTTCCATATTGTTCAAATTCTCATGATGTGTTTCTTCTCATAAAAAGAGAGTAGTGCACTTGTTATTTTCCTGATCTAATCATTATTAATGTGCTGTTTGCACCCCCTAAATATAGCAATGAATATGATAATACCCCATAATTTTAATCGATGTGATATGTTCAATCTACTAAATAATAAACGGATTGTATTGTATTCTTCACTGATCTCTATCCCCATTAATTACCATGGATAATAGTAGTTTAGCAATAATGAATAATAGAGTAAAAGAACAGCATCGAGACTTCTCAGCGAGTCACCCACACTGGTACTAACTCGACTCGTGATGACTTAGCTTCCTAGATCGGACGGGTTAGGGCGCTTTCCATCAGATATGGCCGTTCTCATTTTTATTATTATTCACTAACCTATATAAATATCACATTCTTACCATCACTTATTCACTCACACTCCATTTCTATTCTATTCATTTTTCCTTTTGATTTTTATCCAATCGATTAATACACCTAGAAAGATTCATTCATTTCTTCCTCCTTCCACTGATTCGTCCCCAAATGTCATATTTCTCTCAATCGTTTCAAACAAACACTCCACATCTCCGTCTCCCACACTCCGTCCTGCTTCGCTCCGCACTTCAGACACTTCCCATCGAACACTTCCTTCCCCACGACCGTCACATCATACCAATCCCGCTTCACCAATCGCTCTCCACACTCACAGCAAAACGTATCCTCCGCCCCATGCGAATGCACATTCCCCATATAAATATTCTTCAACCCCGCGTTCTTCCCGATCGCATACGCGCGTTTCAGCGTCGCTTCCGGTGTTCGCGTCTTCTCTTTCATCTTATAATCCGGGTGAAACGCTGAGATATGCCAAGGCAGCGTCGGCTTCACCGAGTACAAGAACTCTGCGATCTTCGTCAGCTCCTCGTCGCTGTCGTTCTCTCCTGGGATGATCAGCGTCGTCACTTCCACCCAGAATCCCATTTCCACCGCCAATTCGATGTTACGACGCACGTTCTGGAAGTTCCCGCCGCACAGCTGGCGGTAGAACTTCGGGTTCCAGGATTTGAGGTCGATGTTGAGCGCGTCGACATACGGCTGGATGTATTTGAGATGCTCCTCGGTCATGTCGCCATTGGTCACATAGACGCATTTTAATCCGTTTTCGTGCGCTAGCTTCGCTATGTCGTGTGCATATTCGCCCCAAATCGTGGGCTCGTTGTAGGTGAAGGCGATGCTCTTGCAATTCTTTTGTTTCGCTTGGTTTACGAGGAATTCTGGAGAGTAGTAGCGCTCCGTCGCGCAGAATTCGTTGTACACGTCCTCGATGTCGGTCTCCTTGTTCTGGAGAGATTCGCGTAAACTGCACACTGCCTGTGAAATATCCCAATTTTGGCAGAAGGTGCATTTGAAATTGCAGCCGATTGTGCCAATGGAGAGAATCCATGTTTTGGGAAGAAAGTGGTACAGCGGTTTCTTTTCTACGGGGTCGATGTGAACAGCGCACGGACGTCCATAAACAAGAAGATACAGTTTTCCTTTTTGGTTGAACCGGACTCCGCATTGACCCACAGAGTTTTCCTCAATGATGCAACGCTTGCTGCAGCAGTAGCATTCCACCTTATTCTCTCCTTCCTCGCTTTTCTATATCTTGCGTCCTTTCGCGATTTCTACCTTATATAGCTCACATTCGTGCAGATCCTGTGGCATTTCTGTGATAAAAATACTTTGATTAAAAAAGATTAATGTCAACAAACAATTCAAAAGACATTAGAGAGGTTTGTGCGGCCGGATCTTCGGCGTGAACTCCACTTTCTTCCTCGAACTGTTCAGTTTCTGCAGACGCTTCTCCTTCAGCTTTCGCATCTTCTTCTCATACGCTGTCTCTTCCGGCTGGTATTGCGGCTTTTCCGCCGTTTCTCGCTCGAAGATGGGGAAATTCACACTATTATCGGTCTACACGTCATGCCTTTCATGGATGTCCACCTTGAGCGAGAGAATCAAAATATCTTCGGCTTTCACGTGCTCCAGAATCTGCGACATCGTCTAACGATTAATATAACTCCATCTTGATTCTCACGCAATTGTAATTGGCTATAATCTTGTCGTTTTCCATCAAAGTATTGCCGATTCGGCAGTCTCTATCGAATAACAAACACGATTTTAGAAAGTACATGCATCTCGAAATGGACACATAGTACGATCGCAGCAGCAATCGAATGTTTTTTATAACGGTTTCGATGGGGACATCCTTAATTGCTACAGGGATCACGCGTCCTCGAGCAAGGGTGTCCTTTCCAAAAACAAACCCCATTTGGTGCTTCAGACGCTGATCGCACAAAATGTAGCGATACTGCTTTAAGAAATTCGCTCTACCTTCCTTTGTGTAGATTGCTTTTCTCATACTGTCGTAAGATATGTACTAGGATTAAGGAGATATTAACAGAAATCACGGTAGAGAGATGCTTTACAGAGTCGAGTTTGTCCTGCATCTTTGCAGCGTCTCCTTTTGTAACGAAAACAATTTCGTACTTGTCGTCCTTGTTATCCAGAGGATAGCGGAGATTCAACAGCACTTGTTTGTCTTTCTTGTACTCTTCCTTGTCTTTTATTCCGATAATTAGATGGAGGACGGTCTCTGACTTCCCTCCAATGCCTACTTTACTATTTCGATAGGAGGCTGCAAATTTCCGAAGCGACTCCAGTGCCTTGTTTGCTATTGCTCCATTGATGACAATTCCGCCTTTCGTTTCACTCATCCCCGCTGGGCTGTCCCACGCAACGACAATTTGGAAATCCAACAAACATGCCAATTTTGTAACAACTTTTGAATCTCCTCGCGCTCCCCGACTCCCAGCGAGTTCACCAGCATCTCAAACTGCGCCTGGTTCTGCATCTGCACGAACTGAACGTGCGTCCGCATCATCTCCAGAATGTCGTCGCTAAACTCCTGAACGGCGAGTCTCCTCGCGTATCCCCGCACGATCCGCTCCGCCCCGCGCAAAAAGACCCACGGGAGTGTTTTCCGGACGAACTCAAAGAAATGCACAATCGCGTCCTCCTCGTAAAAATCGATTCGCGGCGGAAAATGCTCGATCACGAGCCCAAAGATCGATTCCGTGAACTTTCCCGGGAACATTTTGTCAATGCTCACCATCGCGTACATGGCATTGTCCGCCGCTCTTCCCTTCTATCGCTCATTTTCCTCCCCAAAACACGCACATCGCCACGTTCTCCGTCCATTCCCTCCCTCAGCAGCTCCGCGAAGGCCGGTATCGACTCCTCGACTTCCCGCGGGAAAGTCCGGATAATGAGGGAGAGCAGGTAAAAGGTATTGGCGCGGCAATACTCGTCGTGGTACCCCGCGGTGATTGGGATCATGGGCATGACGGCCTGGACGACGAACACGGCGAGGTCGTCGTAGACTTCGAGGAGCGTGGAGGCGAAGGAATAACAGGATGTTATGTCTTCCGGAGAGTTTTCCGCGGTGAGGAAGGTGGAAACGGAGGTCCAGAGGGAGACGAGGATGTCGAGGTTGGAGGGGTCGGCGCTGAGAACCTGGAGGGAAGTGGTGAGGACGTCGACGGCTTTCATGGCGAGCGGATGATCGTTGGCTTGCGGGACGCCCTGCACGGGCTGGTGAAGAACTGAATAGGCGGCCTGCGAGGGCGTGGACTCGTGCAGAAGCGAGGCGAGCGTCGTGTAGAAGGAGGCTTTGTAGGGGAGGAGGAAGGCAGGGCCGAGCAGCGAGATCATGTCCTATCGGAAAGTAGAAACGGGGAAACTACGTCGAGGAGGTCGAGAATGACGAGCTCGACGTCGGGCGATTTCTCGGAGGGAAGCATGGCCAGAATGATGGGCGTGAGGTTGTCGATAAACGACTGCGTGCTCTCTGAAAAGGTCTGCGCTGTCAGCCGGCCAACTCGGAATTGCCCTACGTAGTCGGCATTGCCGTCCGTCCAGTCCACTTCGTCTTCGGCGTCGTAGACCAGATGGAGAAGCGTGGCCAGGTCTTGGAACTGGAGAAAAGTGGAAACGTGGAAACCGTACGGCTTGCTTTCGGATTTGTTCGTGCATGTGGCCGGTGGCTTCGAGCATGCAGTTGATCACGTCGGCGTAGTAAGCGTCGCTGAGGACCTCGATGTGCTACGCATAATCAAAAAAAAGAAAAGAAAGAAAATACGGTGCAGATGCTTAGAAGAGCGTCCATGCAGTACATTTTCTTGGTCACCAGGCTGGCGGACGCTACGATGACCGGAGAAGTCTGCGAAGGATCGGCGGAGATCTCGTCGAAGACGCCGCCTAAGTGGCCGAATTCGTCGGAGGCGGCGCCACGTTGATGAATGAAGAAGTCTGGAGGGTGAGAAGGAGAGGGAAGGAAGAAAGTACCGCGGTCGGAGCGAACCAGATCGATCATGAGGGGCATGTAGCCGTTGAGAAGCGAAACGACGGAGGAATAGGAGGGATCGGATTCGTCGGCAGTGGCGGCCAGGATCTCGAAGAAGTTGAAGACGGTCTCGGCGAAGCTGTCGTCACCGTCACCCATGAGCTAGAAGAGATGAGAGAGTGTTTGGGAGTGGGGAAACGGGAAAGAAAAAAAGAGGGAGAGAGGATTCAATCGATGATTCAAGTCATTCAAGTCATTCAAGTCATTCAAGTCATTCAATTCATTCAATTCATTCAATTCATTCAATTCATTCAATTCATTTCATTCACTCAATTCATTCAAGTCATTCAAGTCATTCAAGTCATTCAAGTCATTCACTCCTTCCCTTTTCATTCCTTTTTCATTCAATTCAAATCCTTACCACCGTCATTTGATCCACCACTTCCTTCAAATACGGAGTCACACACTCATATCCGCAGTGACTCATCACCTTTCCCACCAATTCCAACGCTCTTCTCCGAATCGTCAGCAATTCCTCCTCCCTCGTATGCAAAATCGCCACAGCGTCCTTCATCGCGTTCTCCTTCCCTTCACTCCCTTCCTTCTCTCCTACCACAAACGGCTCAAACAACGCGTCCACCGCCATCACGATCGCCGTGATCGAACTCATCGCCAGCGTGCGGATCGCCAGCGAAACCTCCGACGATTCCACCAAACTGAACAGCTTCGGCTTTGCGTTATCCCTCCGAATCGATAGCTACCACCAAAATAATCACGCCGTCTGGATCCATCTCGCCATAGGACGTTCCCACACACTCCAGCATCGTCAATCCGTTCTCGATCAGCCAGAATCGATCCGACTGGATCATCTGCGCCTCACTTTCTCACCCTGCTTCGCCCTACCGCGAAAATATCCTGCATCAGCCACGGCGCCTCTTCGAAAAGCACATCGCTCTCGCTCTCGCAGATCTCCGAGAACCAGAACGACGCTTTCTTGCACACCGCACAGACCTCATCCATCAACAACGGACGAATCTGCGTCGCCATTTCGCCCAGAATCGGAAGCATTTCCTCGTGACACGACTCCACGATCACAAACAGAGACACCACGGCGGAATAGCGCTGTGTCCAGTCGGGAGAAGCGATCCGCGCGCTGGCAAATTCGCTGACGCTTTGAAGAACCGTCTGGGCGTTGAAATAATGAGCGATTAAATCGAGAACCGACTCACACGAACGACCCGGAGTGTTGCTTTCGCAGCCTTCTTGCTATTCATAAAAGGGGAAACGTGGAAACTACAGGGTCGACTCCAGAATTGATGTTGGCTAAAACGACGGGAAGAGCGCGTTCGAGGTAATTCTGAGCGTGAGAAACGTGGAAACGTGGAAACGTGGTTGGAAACTTCGACGTTGTATTCGGAGAGAACGGATCCCAAAGCCATGCAAGCGGTGCATCGCTCATTATACGAGAGAGATTCGTTGGCGAGGATCTATTGGTTCGATTTACAGGATGGTAAGAAGAACAGAGCAGCAAGCAGAGATAATGGATTCGAGGTGATCGCCGAAAAAGGGAGGCGTGGAAATGGCGGCGTCGTCGAAGAGACCCACAATGCGAAGGACGAGTTCTTGCTCTCCGGTAGTGATGGAGGTGTGGAGGATTTGGAGAAGACGAGGAAGCAGAGGGGTGAAATAGGGAATCACGTCGTCGTCGATCTTGGTCGTAATGATGTCGCAGCTCGCTTTGACGGCCATCGAGAGAACCTGCGTGGTGAACAAATTAGAGAGAGGCAAGAGGCTACGGAAAAGTCGGGGTCGTTCAGACCGTTGTTGAGAACATTGATCAGATCGGAGAGGGAAATGTAGGAACTGATGACTTCGTGCAGAGAAAAGAGAAGCAAATAGCCCATTTCGCGATCATGGGGATCATCACTCACAACCAACTGACGGTAAGATACAAAAAATGATATTCGCGTACATCGCTCATATGAGAAATGATGTTTTTCCAACGATCATTCTTCAGCTCTTCTGCCGCGAGAACTGAAACAACTCCACATATCGCACGACGAGCTAAGTGGTATGGCTCCGACTTCATGCACGACAATAACTGTGATTTGACTAGAAATTAACAAAGTTGACAACGACCAACCCAATTCCTGTGTACTTTCGTCATACATACTCCAGTACAGCGTTATCACTTTTCGCATAAACAAAGCGGCCATCTGTCGACTCTACAGGGATATCCGCAACCGTTCATCCGTTTACCACTTCGTCCTGGCAGTTGACGATAATATTGAGAAACGAAGGAACACATTCTGGACGACGCATAAAATCTAGGATTCCATTTTCGGCTTGCTTCTCAGTAGCCGTATCGTTCGTTCTCATTCCAGAAAATAGCTGCAACACCTGTTCGCAGGAGTCCATCGTATTTCACCAAAAAGTGAGAGGGCAAAAAACAGCACATTTTCTAGCAAACAAATACAAAACATGGATTTCGCATTTATTTCCAAATCCTCTTGCTGCCGATAAGGCATATCTGCATATTTAGTGACCAATCAGATAGAGAAACAGGAAGTAATCGCACAAATGATATTGTTTCCATTTACACAAGATCAAAAAAACAGGGGTATTTTTGGAGCTTCTTCAATACAATAGTTCTTTCCTAGGATAGATTTATTCGTAATGGATACATCAACAGAGAATTTTGTATACATTGAATCCATCAGATAAGCCATAGGTGGATGCGTTGGCAGTCATCAAGCAACAGACCTATACTCTGAAGAAATACATTGTGAATCTTTTTAGCTAGGGTGATGCTGTAGGATGAAGATAATTACAGCGGAACTATTGCTGCCAGTATCCAATTGTTAAACGAGTTGAAGAATGAAAATCTTAACCCTAAAGATTACTACGAAGTCTATATCCTTTTTGTTTGAATTGGGTTAGTGCCTTCATCGGTACGGAATAGTGTGTGCGACCAAATGATCATGGTGGAAAGCTACTTCTGTGATCTCCTCACCGAGGGGAAGGATCCGGACGAATTATACGAGGAAGTGCAGTACACTTCGTTTTTCATTCCCCGTTTGTACCTCATGATCATGGTTGCGAGCTGCTGCATCCGCATGAAGAAGACTCCCGCCAAGAAGCTCATCTACGACACGCTCGAAATGTGCAAAGGCATCCAACATCCCATGCGTGGATTGTTCCTTCGCAACTTCTTCATCCGCGAACTGAAGGACAAATTCCCTTACCCTGGCTGTCGCTACGAAACGTACACCATCGTTCTGAGCTTTTCTGATCCATAGTGAGAACGGAGGCGATGTGAACGACAGTGTGGACTGCATTATTCGCAACTTTGTCGAAATGAATCGGCTCTGGATTCGCATGCAGGCCGGCGCGGCGCGCGACAAAGACAAGCGCGAAGCGTACCGCAAAGAGCTCTGCGTCCTTGTGGGCTCCAACTTCGTCTGTCTCTCCCAACTCGACGGCATCGACGCCGACTACTACAAGACCGTACGTTTCCACGGTTTCTCCTTTTGTAGCGAATCCTGCCGGCGCTGCTGAACGAGATCATCAGCTGTGACGATGTGTTGGCGCAGCAGTACCTCGTGGAGTCGCTGATCATGGTGTTCCCGGACGATTTCCACTTCGCAGCGTTGGACGAGACGCTGCAGGGATTGACGCATCTCTCTGCGCAAGTGGATCTTCGTTGCGTTGTGGGGTGGAGGTGATGGATAGGCGGCTTGATCAAGATGTTCATGGAGCGGATTAGCGAGGTGAGCGCTCAGAACGAAGCCTCTCTGCAGGAGAAACTGATTCATTTCTTCGAGAGCGCGGTTTGCTTTTGGAGGTCGGAGCGATTCATTCATAGAACGAGTCGCAAACGTCGCTTGCCGTGCTGTTCCCGATCATCCAAGAAACCCTTCCGCTCTTCCTCAATCACGCCGATGCGCTTTCCTACATAAACCGAATCCTCGATCTCGCTCACAAGATGCTGCAGAACAGCACCACCGTCCAGGAGTAGGCGCTCAAAACCCGATCAATCGCAGGCCGTCCGTGCTGGTTCCGCTGTTAACGACCCCCATCGAAACGCTGGGCGTCGATTTCATCTTCGGAGGCGCGTTCGCGTCGCTGGTGGAGCAATGCACAGACGAAGAACGCTGCCTTGTGGCGTGTGCTGTGGGCGAATATCTCCTCGCTCACAGCATTCAACTCACTTCGAAAGAGAATCTCGCGATCATCACGACGCTCTTCTCTTCGATCTTCTCCCAGACCGATCCCAACTGTTACTCCGTGTTATCTCGCGTGCTGCACCTCGTGAAGCTCGAAGACGACAAGGCGCAGCAAGAAGTCCGTCTCTCTTCTCGTGCATTCATGGAATAGTATCTCTCTCAGTGGGTTTCTATCCTCGCTTCTCATCCTGATTCGCCGTCCAGCGGTCTTCCATTGCTCACCATTATCTACCGATTTATGGAATTCCTGAAATCGGCCCCCGAGCGCGAAGCGATCTATTCGTTGATCGATTCTGCATTAGCGGAGCTCCGAAAGATCCACGATCGCCAAGCCATGGTGGCCACGATGGATCTCATGCTCACTGCCGATTCGCGAAGCGATTCTTCGTTCGCTGAGCAATTCCTGAAGGAAGGCATCGAAGCCATGACCAAGGTGGGATCGGCTTCGCGCCTGGCCTGCCATTCGGTATTGGTGAAGTCGCTGCTGTGCGTGAAATCGCTGCCGAACGAGCAGTTAGCCTCGCTGAGCCGCACTCTGGAAGAGAACGACGCGAAGCAGAGCAAGGACGTGGAGTTGTGCAACGAAGTTTTGGTGCAGTGCGCGCTGATGCATGTCGTGAAGACGAAGACGAAGACCGAGACCGAGACCGAGACCGAGACGGTGAGCGAAGGAGGGAGGAATGAGCGGTAGAACGCGCTGGCGGATGAGAAGCGCGCTGGCGAGCTGGTCGGGCTGTGCGAGAAGATGATCGACGAGTCCTCGCTGTCGTCGCGCGAGAAGAACGCGGCCAGAGCGGCGTTGCTGCGGAATCTGATTCTGGTGAACAAGGTGAGCCAAGCTGTGGTGCCTCTGAGTAAACTGGAGGAACTGTACGGCAAATTGGCAAAGGCGGAGAAGGTGAGCCATGCCACCAAGAAGCTGCTGGGCGAGTTGAAGCCGCTGATTCGCGAGTAAATGAATGGAAATTGGATTGTTTGTTGGATGGAAATTGGATTGTTTGTTGGATGGAAACAGGACAAAGAGGAACGCTTTGAAGGTATTGAAGACCTTGCTGGATGCGAGAAAGAGCTTCTTTGTTTTCTTGGTAGATGGATCGTGTCTCTGCTTCGATCTGGACATTTGAAAAGCTTCGATGACTCTACCTTTCGAATCTCGGCTTCGAGAGCACGGATGAGACGTTTCTTCATACGCATACGCTGGGCACAAAGTAACTTATTTACATCGACAACAGGACCGCAACTACAATAGGAATGAACCATCACCACACACTATTTAGCTTCAATCTCTGCCTTCTCACATAACTCCGAGTCCTCTTCTTCTAACTGGTTGAAATATTCAAAAACTCCCTCTTCTTTACAATGCTCAACTATTTGCTCCTACAAATCATTCAATGGCCTAAGCATTGCACTTTCGCCTCTTCTTTATACTGATCGAGCAGTTTTGCAGCGGTGATTTGAATGAATAGTTTATCTTCACTCGAGATTCCTGTGTAGGAATCCGATATAACATCCGATGTGATTTTCTTGGTAATTTTTGTAAGCACTTTGTCTAAGACCTAATCATCACCCTTTTCTCCACGCCTCCCACATCTAAAAACTGATCTTTTCGAGTAACTGTGGCTAGTTCTTCTTCCATCTACAGAAAAAAGAAATGGAATTAAAAAAAAAGGGGGAAATCTGGATCATCTCAAAAAGCCATTTTTCGTAAACCATGAGTCTGTGGGACAAGATGAAAACCAAGTCGCATCCTGGACGTATAAAGGTTTGGATATCGTTATTTTCCGAGTAATCGGTCTAGTCCAAAGCGACAGATGCTGATGGATTTCGATTTAATATTCCTGTTGGATTGAGAAGGACTCCTTCTCCGGATCCAAGTGAAAGCGAAGATTCAGATAGCGAAAGTGTCCCTAGTGAGTCATTTTTGATACGCCGTGATATCTAGAGTCTCCCGTTGTGTCCCTTATGACCTTCTCGAGTTTCGATGGAGATAAAGATATCAGCAAGTACAAACGACTTCTTGAGAGAGATCGTATTGACATGAAATCGTTGCGGACCTTGGCATGGAATGGAATCCCTTCTGTGTATCGCGCCGTGACATGGAAACTCCTGCTGGTACGAATGAGCCTGTTTGGTTGATTCCAGGGCTACCTCCCCTCGATTCGAAGTCGTCAGAATGCGATCATCCAGCGAAAGCGTCGTGAGTACTTCGAGTACATTCCGCGTCTCTTCGATGTCCCCGACAGCGAGCGCACCGAAGAAGAGCTCGCGACTCTTCACCAAATCTCCGTCGATGTTCCTCGAACGGCCTGCAGCTCCATCGTCCTGAAGAACGAGGACATCCAGAAGGTTGGATCGCAGAGTCAGTTTCATCGCAGAGATTGAAACGCCTTCTGTACATCTGGGCGAACCGGCATCCTGCATGCGGCTACGTGCAAGGAATCAACGATTTGTGCATTCCCTTCCTGGTGACTTTTTTGAACGACCGCTATCCAGGCTTGCTTTTAGAGTCGTTTTTGATAGGCAGATCAAATCGGAGAACTGAATTGGAGCGAAGTGGACTCGACGTTCCTCGACGAGATCGAAGCGGACACGTACTACTGCATCTCGCGGCTCTTGGACGGGATTCAGGACCACTACACGACGGACCAGCCGGGCATTCAGCGCATGGTGAAGAAGCTGGAGGATTTGGTGCGTCGAACGGACGCCGACTTGTATAATCACATTCAAGAGGAAGGCCTGATGTTCCTTCAGTTCGCCTTCCGCTATATGAATTGTTTGTTGATCCGAGAGTTGAGCATGAAGACGATCGTTCGCTTGTGGGATACGTATCTGAGCGAATCGAACGGGTTTGATGTGTTCCATGTCTATGTGTGTGCTATCTTTCTGAAGCTCTCGCATGACGAATTGATGGAGAAGGACTTCCAGTCGATGCTTATTTATCTGCAGAATCCTCCCACGCAGAATTGGAGCGATCAGGAAGTGGAGGAATTGCTTTCGCAAGCGTGGGGATGTGAAGCGGGGTTGAGGTGTAGGTTTGTTCTTAAATCGCTGTTTGAAGAGACCAGTATTTGGTGTGTTTGTTGGAAATAATGTGATTAGTCGAAGGAATGGATGTTGATGGGTAATGGATGAATGGATTGCAGTGCCTTGTCTGAGGATACGATGATCTTTTTAAAATGCTACGTTCCAGTGGAATTCGTGCTTACAAACAATCAATCGATCACGACAACCGAGATATGAGATGGAAGTGAGTGATTGAGGAGTTATACTTTGAAAGATTATTCATTATGTCATGAGAGACACTTGAGAGTGTGGTAGTAGAGAAATGATTCATTTTAGATATGAATGGTAACTCGAAATACTTCTGGCTGAAAATTCAATCAATTTCAGATAATAATAATAGTAATAATAATAGTATTATTTATGAATCACTCGTGTAATCTTTATCCAATGGACTCAGCATTAAATTGATATCAAATAGTCCTTGTAATAATCAGCAACAAGTATTTTTGGACAAAACTAGGTAAAAATAACCGAATTTGAATCATCATCATCTACAACAGCGTTAGTATGATTCTGATTCCTTATTAGTTAACACTCCTATACTGTCATGTTGATACTACTCACTTAAATCATAGAACATCATCATAGTTCAAAATATGTTGGGTCATGTTTTACAACGCTTATAAATTATTACGCTTGTTTATTGACATTATGCCCATTTGAGCAGAATAGCAACTTACTGGAGAGTAAAAGGCTTGTGTTTGACAAGGACTTATAATAGAATTATTACCTTACATAGATTTATTGATTTGAATATTACACATACATATACAGATTACGACTATTCTTTAATACCATCGAAGAACAACAGGCGAACACATATGCATGGAATGAAAAATCTCCATATATACATTCTTCCATTATGTATCACTAACTACAATTCAATATACTTTTGGTTCAAATAGGCTTTTTCAGTTTATTTCGGCTTTTCCATAATATTCATCGTTATTCACATATCATGCCTGTTACCACTATCGGTGTCTCTAATCTAGCTAGGGTGAGACGGTTTACTCAACAAGACAGTAATGAAGCACTCACTTCCATTCCTGGATCTAATATAGTCTATGGAAAGCGTGGTAGAGAAGAAGGAATATTTCATAAGAGGGGAGATAATTACTCACTTATTCGAGGAAAACGCCTATTCACTGGTTCCTCGTATTATTATATTGGAAGCGAACGAACAAGAGATGATGGACTACTAATTTATCCAACTATACCCAAAGTAATCTCTTTGTATGAAAATGATCAACTAATTTACAAAGGCGGGATTAAGGATGGTTTGTACCATGGGCATGGAACAATTTACAAAGACGGAAAGCCTGTTTTTGAAGGTCATTTCGAAAATGGCAAGAAATGTGGAGAAGGCTGTGAATTTGATGACAACGGATTATTTATTAAAAGAGAATACAAGAATGATCAGATTACTGGCAGTTCTTATGAAGACCAGGAGTATAGAAGACTTATCGATAAGTTAAAGGAAAAATTGGAAAAGAAAAATCCGAAGTTGTATATTGCAGATACCACTTATTGCGACTTTATAGTTCAAAGAAAAAGAGATCCAAGATTCCAGGAATCTCCTATGGTCTTCTATGGATATGTAACAAAAGAAGGAGCTCATCGAGTGATCGGAAAGGAATTCCGGGTTACTGGATATGATCATTTTGAAGGTATTTATGATGAGCAAGGTAGTTATTATTATGGAACGTTGTGGTGTGATTCCAATGTTCGTTTTGAGGGATCATTTGAAAATGGAAGAATGAAGCACGGAAGGATCTATATAACGAAGGTTTTGCTGTATGAAGGAGATGTTAGCGAGGATGGTCAGATGCATGGACAAGGTCGTTTGTATTATACCAGTAAAATGAATACTACTCCTTTTGTGCAATATGAGGGCTCGTTCCAAAACGGAAAACCGGAAGGATTTGGGAAGGTGTTCTACAACACGGAGAACGAAGAAGAAAAGAGAATCAAGTACTGTGGGTATTTCAAGAATGGCTTGTTTGATGGAGATGGGATTTACTTCTCCAGAGACTTGAGTTATTGTTGTGGAACGAGCTACGAATGGAACAAAGCGGAGACCAAGACATTTGGGATGAGAAGCGACAAGAATGAAATTGCGGTTATTATGAAAGCATGTAGTACTATGAGCCAAGCTGAATTCGATTCTCTTTCACACAAGTATAGAACTACTGCTACAAATCCTGAAGGAGGTTGGAAGGAAGGAGAACTTGATGGACTAGTCAGAATTACCTCGAAAGAACATTCTTCTTATTTGGTAAAGATGGTTGATCGCAAACCGACATTTGTATGGGATATGATGATAGATAATAAGAAATATACTGGAGAAGTGATAACCGATGATAAAAGTGATATTTCTTTATTATATTTCAAAGTTACTTTTACAAGATACGATGTCGTATTTGATGGATGGAAATACTCCGATATAATGCGAGATAAAAGAGGTCAATTATCAGGCTCCATCACTT